CAAAAGCAACCACAATTAGTAGAGTAAATAACACACACTAGAGAGCACACAGTAGCCTGATTTCAACAAACACCAGCCTTTATGTTTAACGTCTTGCTTTGACATATGTTTAACGTCTTGCTTTGACATATGTTTCAGCTAGTAGCAAATTATTTATAAACAACAGAAATATATTTTAATGCTATATTTGAAAAGGCAAAGCAGAGTCCCAACTATGAAGTTGTCAAAAAAAAAAAAAAAAAAACTATGATAAATCATCTGAGAAAAACCCTGGAGTGAGCTCCTGCCTCTGGCATCAATCGGTGGCAAGACTGCCATTGACTTCAGCAGAGTATGATTTTACCTCTGCTTTTAGGCCTGACCAATGGGAAGAGCATCACGAGACACAACTTTCAGTTGCATATCAAAGGTCACATAAAATTTCTTTAGCAAGTGCTGCTTTCTGTGTAAGTTATTTCCTTTCTAGTCAAGTAGAAGATATCATGTGGACTATTCAGAGCTCTGGAAGCATAGAAAGCCAGACAAAGCAGGCAGCTGCCAACGACAAAAACACTCTGAGATGTTTCCATAAGCAATAGCAGTTTTTCAAAGGCAATTCCAACACAACTTATGTAAAGGATTCTGGGAACATCTTTTGCGTACTCCCTTCTTTCAGTAGTCTTGTCTGTTTTTTCCTTTTGTTATACAAACTTTTTTTATAGACCTTCCTTTCACAGCTCTGTTTCCTTAGTTCACTTTTATACTTTTGTTCTCTTATTAATTGTATTATTTTGCATTCCTCTTTACCCCTTTAGTACTTTTGTTCCTCTCTCTGACTTTTTTGCTTTGTGATTGATCTCTATCAGGCCAATGTAAGTCATAGTGAAAGCCAAGGAAAGCTTCAGCCTTCAGATAAGGAAAATGACTGGATTAAGACAGAAATAAATTATCAGGAATTTTATCTAGAATGTAGAAAGAATTCTTTTTATAGCAACAAGCAAAAAAGCAGATTTCCTTACGGAAGGAGGATACGCCTATTGGGACAATGCCTAATTTTAATAAGGACTTCAAAAGAGAATGTGATTATTTTAAATTATGATTTATGCCTTTGATGTCAAAATGAAACACAATTATATTTTATTTTGCTGAAGCAAACTTTACAAAGGTTTATTTTTACTTTCTTTTTATGTCTGTGATAATGCTTTATGTCTAAATTGAACTGTTTTGGCATGTGAAGGATTTATTCATGCTCTGAGTGGATCCGTTTGGTTCTCATTAATTTAATTTAATCATTAGATATTATAAGATACTATACCCCAGTGTCAAAGTACCTCCCTTTTCACAGGCTGGAAGGTCAACATCCCCACATACTTGGTTGGCTGATCTTCGTTGTCAGTACATCCAGTAGACCCTTTTAAAAAGAATAGCCTGAGAAAAACCTTCTGTAGATAGCCAGCCAGTCAGAGGATGGAGTAACCGTGTTTTGTTTCACTAGCCTCTTCCTTCTTTCTGAAGATGGCTGGGGAACTCCCTCATTCAAAATCAAGATGCATGTTACAGGACATGAAGAGGTCCCATAACAATGTTTTCTTATAATCTAGTAAGCTCACTCACCTTGCTTCTCTATGACTGTTTATCTCTAGTGGTTTTAAGGATGATTTTGCACAGTTTTCAACTCAGCATGTGCTGGAAGATAAAATGCCTGGATCAACTTCCTATTAAGAATATTAGTCATCTGGAAAAGAGAGAATACAGGTATTCCCCAGCTCTTAAACCAGGGGTAATTTCATCCATTAAAATCTCCCACATAGGCAATGCATGATCCAGTAGAATGAGCTCCGAGCACTGGATTGTGTTAATCCTCAAATTGCTTAATATGACTGAATAAAAATCGTGCAAAATAGGGATCAGAACATACTAAAAATATTTTCTATTTTTAAGGAAAGAAAATCCTAAAATTTTTGTAACAGCAAACATCTATTCTAACCTCGCTTACAGTCTATTTTCAAAAAGATAGCTTCACCTTCAGCAGTTTCATGTGTTGTCTTCTACTACAGTCACACATCTAACAGGATCTCCCCTCTAAGGATTCCTATTTCGGGACTGAACTGAAAGATAGACTTTGTAGTGGCTGGTTAGCTATAGCCTTAATGCATGTGTTAGGATACAAAACATTCCTTGTGATTCACAGGGTTCGGAAATGAGACCCAGTATCTTACCACATGTTAGAAGAGATTGCTAGGTTATTGCTATCTACTAAAAGGTATTTTCTCTCTAATGCTTGTAGTGTAAGCTCTTTACATGACATCGACAGCTGAAATGGGAGCTGTACTATTATCCTTAGAAGACAACAGGAGGGGTGCTGGAAAGTAAGGGCACACTCTATATAGTTTCACTGCATCCCTGGATAAGGAAAAGGATTACAGAGTCACTCAAGTGAGAAGGGACCTCAGGAGGTCTCTAGTGCAACCTTCTGCCCAAAGCAGGGCCAGCTCTGGGATCATCCCAGGCTACCCAGGACTTTGTCCAGGCAGGTCTGAAGACCTCCAAGGGTGGAGCCTGCACAGCCTATCTGGGCAACCTGCTCCACTATCTGCCTGTCTTTATGGGAAATATTTTTTCCCCTCATATCCAACGTATATAAGACCCTCTTGTTATCCAGGTGGCTTAAAATAATGCTTGAGCAAGCGTGGGTAAAGATAAAGTGTGTGTGTGGTGCTGGGGGATTCATAACCCTCTACCCCACAAAACTAGAAATGTTTATAACAGGCATTGATAGTAACTTGTCAGAAAATATGGCCATAAGAGACTACCCACTGCAGTCCTCAGGAATGGTTCTTCTACTGTAACCTCTGATGGCTGCCTTTCTTTGGGGAGACTTTTGATATTTCATATAGTCTCTCTCCTCTTTGAAGTCTCACAGCAGGTTTAGATATATTTAATCTTTTCACTTTTCACTTTGAAATAAATTTAATTTCATGAAAATAAGCATTGGTTTTTTTGTCTCTTTGTTAATTTAAATACTTGGACTGAACTGGCTAGTGAGCAGCTCCTTCATTCACAGCTCCTATCTCCTTTAGTGATTCATTGGCAAGCTTCAGTATTACACTGGACCTTGTATTCTATTATCAATCCATGTTTTGATAAACATACTTGATGTAATCAACTAAATAGAAAAAGTGGATCATTCCTGGCCTCTTCCCTAAGACCAGATATAAGGATAACTGAGCTCTTCAAAGTAATTGATTTATAGCCCCCTTCTCTGATACATATCACAATGAAAATGGTAGTTTTCAAAGAAGTACTAAGGATACGGTACTTCTACAACCATTAATAAACTATGGATTAACATGTTTAGTAATGTATTAATTGATATTTCACAGATATTAATTTTTAGGGACCTATTTTACCAGTAATTTTGTGTTTCATGAAAAAGAACTTATATCTGTAAATATGCTTTCCAACAGTTTGTATCTAGGCTGTCTCAACTGTAAATATGAGCCTGTGAGTATAAAACATGGAAATAGTGATTATTGTTAATATCATATTATTTTATTCTGCAAACCGTATTTTGTTTCTGGAACTTAACATAAACAGAACTGTAGTCACACAAGAAAAATAAGTGGTAAGGAGAAAATTACATGACTACATTTAAAGAGTTTGTGTGGGTCCACACAAACTTTCAAGTCAGAAATTTCTTGCTAATTATTTTTATAGTGATTTCATCTGTGAAATCGTTAGCCCAAACCTAAAGACAGATAGAACTGAAAAACTACATCTGTGGGCTTTTGAAAAGTTGAGCTGTAGTATATGGATCGAGTTGTGGTCCTCTCTTTCATGGGAAAGTCAGTTTATAAGGAAGATGTTGAGGGCTTTTTTCCTTAATCAGCTTTACAGGTAATTGCTGACTGTAAGGGGATTAACAGATGTGAGACTTTTCCTTCTGGATGTCCCTACCCAGTAGGTGTGTTTATTTCTGCTCTTTGGGAAATCTGACATGCTGAAAAAAAAAGGTATTTTTTGCTCTGTTTCAGAATAAGGATGTAATCTTTCAAATAGGTAAATCTGGAAAAAATATAAGTTTTCAAAAATAGAAACATTTTGTTTTGGTGTAAGTCAGTGCAGAGGCTCAAGCTCATTGGCTTCCAGCTCTTCTTGAGTCTGTATGACAGAAAGACCAGAGCCTAGAAGCTCTGAGAGTCAAGTTGAGCTAGGAGCTTTGGAGCTCCCATCTCCTTAAAGGCCAGCTTGGGAGTTTTGGGAAAATATTTGGCTCTAAGGATCTCAGATGCTGGTCTCCAAGTCTAAAAGCCCTGAGACCTTCCTGTCTCACAGGGAAAATCTCAGCCTTCTCTCTGGGTGGTTCGAAATCCAGATTCCAGAGAAAGCGTGTTCTTCTTTATTCTAAAAGTTCCTAAAGTGTTTTCCAAGACTACATCCCATTTCTACAAAATAAAAGGAAAATTCCATATGGCCCAATGCTGGATAAGACTGCAAGAAATGGTATTGAAGTTGATGGAAATATTCATGTTGGCAATATTTAGCAAGGCTGAATGGTATTATTAGGATAATGGTAATATTTCATTTTTTGGAAAAAGATAATTTTTAAAAAGTACTTAAATCTAACAGAAGATGGAAAAGCTGTTCAATCTAAGTTTAATATCCTAAAATAATGAAAGTTCATTTAAAATAATATTTAAAGCAGATTGACCACATTTTAAATTAGTCACACTATACAAATTGAGTGACATAAATATAGTAGCTTCAGTTTTAAACTTGGGTAAAAGAAACTTAAACTCAGCTCTCTCTCTTTTTTTTTTTTTTAATAAGCATTGACAAATTCTATGATCCACAGGAGAAAAAAAAGAGGAGTGTCACAATGGTTTTGATATCTTATTTGCAAGTAAATTTTATGCCTTTATTCACATTATTTTTAGGTATCCCCTTTGTCAATCATGTCTACATTTGCATTGCTGGCAGACCCAAAATATGACATTGATTATTGTTTTCTTGTCTCTTAGGAAGACAGAAAATGAAGAAAAAAACCACATTCTTCGAATCACAGTCTTTGTCCCAAAGGCAGCACACGCCTCTGACACCCCCGTCCACTCCTCCTGCCAGCTTCGCTCTAGAGAGAAAGCTGTGAAGATAGAATTGACCAGACTCCAGCTATTTTATGCATACAGTAGTTTGGTCCCTTAAAATTTGAATTATGGACCACATTGCTTTCTCCTGGAAAATCTCTCAGAAGGGGAAAAGGTATTCCAATGACAACATGAGTGTGAATTTATGTGGAGACTAAGCGGACCCAAAAGTATTCATTTTGATTTTATTGTTAGAACTATCCGTAGAGAACTAACCACTTCATTAGCATGCCCCTGGCACTGGGGCGAAGAGCTGAAGTTTCATTCTTCCGGACATCGTGTTACTCACTTAGCCCTCTCATCATCGCTAAATACACTTTCTACTCAACACAACCAGATCCAATGCAGTCACCTCGTCTGAGTAACACCTTATTTTACAGGTAGTCTTCTGCTAAAATCAATAGCATTAGTTATGGAATAAAAAGTGCTTAGAGAGATTAATATCAGAATTTGTCCAAGAAAATGTCTCAACCATAGGGGAAGAATTAATGCAGCAGTATTTCCATTAGTATTGTGGTCAATTTGCTGATTCCACTGACTACTCAGCATTTGTTCTCTTCCTCTTCTAGACCTGACTTGCCCCAGCAAACACTTCTGGAGTGCCAAACCAGTGATGGTTGCTACAGTTATTTTCTCATCTGCTCCTGTTTCAGAGGTTGGAGGCCTTTGTGTGTAATCGTCCCTCGCTTTATTCCTCTTCCAGAGCTAGCAGAGAGGGGTGCCTAAGCAGATCTGAAATAAAGCTAAGGTCAGGAGAGAGCCATTCTCCGATTCCTGGGATAGATGTAAGGGAGGAACTGGATAAACAGTTAAATAGCAATTTGCCAGCTTCAGAATCATCAAAGAATTCTGATTGTAGTGAAGAGAGCAACCAAGTACATCTGGCTTTCAGGAGAGTGGAAAGTCTACTTTTATGCCAAAGCTAGACCATAAATGTCTGGCTCTGATCCCAGCTTTGTTGGCCCATTATAAGCACTTTTATTTGACCTTTTTATTAATGTCAGTGTTGTTCCGAGCACACACATGTCTTAGATTCTCAAACAGCAAGAAAATTAAAGAGATGGTTTTATAAGAATTGGATGCACAGTAGGTAGCACCGTCCTAAAGTACTAGCTTATCTAGCTAACTAGTTAGAAGAGACAGCTCCGTTTCTGTATTAACTATGGATCTTGTGTCTTAGGTGCCAAACAGACATGAAATAAATGGCCTGTTTAAAATAATTGTAAGCAATCATAGCATACATTGTAAACAGAAAATCTTGCTTTGTGACTATTTACGTCTGTATTATACTCTTCTTTAAACAGGAAGTTTTGTTGTTTCTCGTACTACTATATCTGTTTTGTGTGTCTACAAAAACAAGCCTATTGTGCTTCTTGGAAACTACTATACCTAAGATTCAGTGGTCTATTGAATAAATATGAATGCAAAGACATTTACAATTGAAGTGCTTACCTCATAAAATTATGAACATTAATGTCAGAAAAAGGTTTTCAGCTCTTTTAAGACAGCTTTTATGTACCTGAAGAGGAAATGAGCTAGAAAGGTGAATGTTCAGATGTATGTCAGACAAGCAGATTAAATCATTTCGGGATTTCCTGGCACCTGGGGAGGAGCCAACATGAAATGAATTATGTAGTGTGCGTGGATTAAATGAACATTGTGACACATAAAATACTCTATTTGTTTAATTCTTCATCCATTGGCCTGAGCCTTCAATAGATGGACAAGCAAAAAGGACCTCAGTCTTGGAAATTTTTTATTGCAGAACAGAGTGACTCAGGGATTTGTAATGGATGGAGTTCAAGCCATTTACTCAAATCTGGACCAGGCCAGTAGTGATCACAAGTCAGTACCAGCTGCTGCTAGTGGACACCAATCTATATAATGTAAAGTAACCTCACACAACCCGCTCCTCAGCAGTCTCAGCCAAAAAGCCAAACATAGAATGGGCACAGAGACAGAACTAAACTTTCCACCCCATGTAGCAGTTGCTTAAAACACACATTTCTGTAGGGCGGGTAGTGAGAACACCATTTTATTGCCGCTGTCCGTGCTGTACCGATTCAGTGGAAAAACTGAAGAATGGAGCTTCCAGCAGGGCCAGACTGGTACTTCTCATAAACCTCTATTTTACATTCCACCATTGTACTTGCATTTGGCTGGAAAATGTTAATCACCACTCCACACTTGCACCTTTCAGCATGGTTGACAAGGATTTCTCATCTGAATGCAGCTTCAGAATTTGCTTTCCTTGGGGCCTAGGCAAAGCTAGAATTAAATGCTCTTCAGGATGAGATGCCATTTTTTAGAGGAGAGACTAAATGAACTCTATTTTATTTAATGGCTTTTAACTTACCTGTTAAATGTTTGACTGGAGGTGGTTGTTGGGGACGGCAAGGCCTTGCAGTGCCCCCTCCCCGGCCAGGCCTATCCTGCAGCTCCCAGCGAGGTGAGCTGGGCCGGGTTGTGGATGGTGGCCAGGGCTGGCATGCCAGGTGCTGCTGCAGGCCCTTGTCAGGGCCAAGGTGAAGCTGGGAAGTCAAGTCAGCAAGGCAAGGATAGGATCAGGTTCAGAGGCTCAGCTAGAGTCCAGTGGCAGGCCCTGGAAGTCAACCCAGGGGTCCAGTCCAGATCAGGTTGTGCAAGGCCAGGCATGGGCACATCTGCAGGGCACAAGGGCTACAGTCCGGCGGCAACCACTGGTGCGAACCCCGGCTTGAAGGCAGCTCTTGGTGAAGAGGGCATAGACCCCCACTGGGGCTTCTTCTAGCTCTTTATTTCAAGGCCACCAGCTGCACTATGTTGATCCTGAGCTGAGGAAGTAAAACCCTCGGTACCTGCAGATATCCAGTGTCCTGTCAGTGTCATGGGATTTTATGAAACAAATAATTTGGAATATTGGAGTATTGGAAGTTTTGCTTTTGACTTTTTCTGTTCTATGACTGCAAGAGTTACAAGCACTGAGGTTATGTTTAGAGGACTTGTAACTTTTTCAGATGTTCTCAGGAGGAAATTCTACTCCACAAACAGTGCTGCTCTACGTGTGAATTGAGGATGTATAAAATCATTTTCATTTCCTGAACATTTGGTGTTAGCCAGAAAAACCCATGGAGTTTCTTGGTAAATGCCAATCTATGTTTTACACCTCCAGCAATGCAATCCTTGGGATTCTTGCAAGATGTGGACTCTCTTGGCCTAGAGATTCTGGGTAATATAAAGTTTTGGGGAAAATAATGAACCAAATGGGAAAAGCTTCATTATGTAGTTCAGAACACAGTGATCTGGATAGAGATAGTTAGCAAACAGTACTACTGAGACTTTAGTCTACACAGCATATACAGATCAATGGCAACTCTTCAGGCACACGGGCATAGACTCCCTCAATGTTTTTTTTTTTTTTTTCTGATTATGGTGACTTTTTTTTTTCCCAATGTGCTGGACAGACAGGTCAATCACGCCTTTCACAAAATTACTGCTTTCATGTTGACATCAACTTCAAAATGCAACTGGTTTTAAAAGAAATGTCTTCAAAGGTTACAGAGGACATGATAAATTAAGCCTGCTAAGGTTTGGCTATTACGTCTTTCCAGTCAGTTTCCTTTATTCTCAAACAGAAACCAGCACAATGCTGCTTTTTCAATGGTCTTCTATTCCCCTTGAATTCCCCAGGTGGGATTTTTCTCTCCTTCCACAGATTTCAGGCAGAAGATCTGCCTATATATATATTTTCACCCAAGCTGACCCTATAGGAATAATGAAAAGATTAATTTCAAATAACTACAACCCGTATTATAACCTTCATATATAAAGGGTGCTTAATATTCATTGTTCCTTCTTTCTTCTAACATTTACGTTATTTTTCATCAGAAACAGTGCTACATGAGAAACAGGAAGTAATGAAAGAGTTATACAGTGTTGAAGAAGTACATAATACGGTAATAATAGTTAAGCCTCAAAGTATGCAAAGTTTAATTCAGCTTAGATTAGCACCCCTAAATTCTGGTCCTTATTAAGAGCCGCATTTTTAGACAAGAAGTTGGGCCATGTACCTGACAGTAACAAACTGTCTGGTTAGAATTACAGCGTGTCCTGGTTCTTGTCACACTGAAAATGTCACAGGATTAGTTTTCTGTGTGCAGAATTCCTCCTTCGCACTCCAGTGAGATCTTTGTAGAATAACAGGCTGTGTATGCATGGGAGAAGCAAGTATACGAAACCTGAATAAAAGGGGTTCATCACTAAGGGATGAACAACAATAACTGTGAATGCTGTGAATTTATGCCATTGCGTACCTGCAGAGTAGAATTGCCTCATCATTTCCAACCAAAGAATAAATAGTAGCCCAGGGGTGGTAAAACAGTAATGTAAACCAAGCATAGTATTCTGCAATCATATTTTGAAAGAATGTGAAAGATCTAATTTTCAAAGGTCACAAGGACAGCAAGATGTAACTGAAATAGCTTTTTTGAAACTGAACCTACCTGAAAATAAAGATCCTAGAACACTGTAGGTTGAAATGACCTCCAGAGGTTTTCTACTCCAATCTTTCAATAAAGTAGTTACCATAACTATTGATTAACTGCTATAACTGGATAGTTAGAGATAAAACTGGAGATTAACTGCTATAACTGGATAGTTGGAGATATGATGTTACTCTTATTGCCTGATAGGTATCTCATGCTTAGGAATTATTCTGCAGGTAAAGGTTTTAATACTGAACTCGTGTAGATTTTCTTCTGAGGAAGTCAGGTCATTCCCACACCTCTTTGAACCCACACCTCTGAGCCAGTTCTTTCCCAATGAGTTGTACCAGTTCCTTCTGAACGGCTCAGCTTTCTGAGCGACCTCAAACAAGAATTGCCAACATGGCAAGGCCCAGTCATACATCTAGGGAGCCTACAGCCCCTCCAAGCACTCAGCAATACCCTGTCACTCCTCAGCTGGCCCCTGCCTAAGCAAGGCCTTCCCTGATGGCCGTTCCTGAACAAGCCTGGGCAGAAGCTACGGTGGTCTTCCTGCCCCTTCCCTGCATGGCTGCAAAGTCACGATCTAACTGGACATAGTCCTTTTGCTAGCCAAATTCCTGTCCATTGGACTACACAGGTAGGGGCTCCCTGAAGGACACTCCTCTTGCCACTAGAGCTGCAAACCCGATGTGTCCCCAGTCCAGCTAGGGTTGATGGACATATCTCTGCCGAGGTGGCACAGCTTTGTTCTCAGTTTTTCCAGGGCACCATTTGGCCTTCAGACCAAGAACAACCTGGGTGTCCAGCTCCTGACCTGGGCCTGTGGGCTTCCCTGGTCTTCCTCAGATAGTGGGCTGGCACTCCTACCCTCTATCTGAGGCCAGATTGCCACAAAGCACACATGCCTTACCAGGTGTCACAGTGCATCCCAAACAGCTCAGCTCTCTCACCCTTCAGTGAAAAACCCACTCCTGACAACCCCAGACCTTGTGCCATGCCACATCAAACCTCTTTTCCACATTCCTTTCCGGCCCCAGCCATCTGGAGCAAATACAGGCAAGAAAACTTCACAAGCTTCTCCTTTTTTCACCCATCGGTGGCCAGGATACATGGGGAACCTGTGGCGTTGACACATGCAGACCTACAGATGTGTGGCTTGGCCAAACAAAGGTCTGTGCTCTTTCTGTGAGGCAGAGAATATGCATTGGGGTTCCTTCCTCCTTCTGGATCCTTCTCCTGTCTATAAGATTATCATATCTGTTTCTTATTGCCTCAGTAGGACGGCAGAAGGAAAGGGCCACGTGATAGCTGTCAAAAAATGCCCAGCTCTCTCCCTTGCCAATGCCCCAGCCATTGAATGAGGATCATCCAAAATGAATTCTAGGTTCTTTGGCAGCAGCATAAAAAGTGCTCTTCATCTCTGCCCCAGGGCAGTAGGCCATGCCCATCCTCCAGAACTATTTCCTCAGCTCTCCACAGCCAATGTCCTCCTCACCATTGAGGTAACCATTGAACAGAGACCCTCTGCCTAGAGGAGAAGCTGAGAAACCTCCAAAATCCCAGACACAATGCTTGCCCCTATTTCTAGGGAGAGCAACAAGCCTGAGCTTCATGACTTTCTGGGACGCAGCCACCTGCTCCAGGACTTGAAGGTGAAATTTTCCTGTTAGGACAAGCAGTCGCACGGAGAAGCTGAGCTAAAGCAAGTGGCTGAGCTGTCTCAAGTGCTTTCTGGGACAGGGGGCAGCAGGGAGTGAACCTCACCACTGCCAAGGAAGAATCTTTGAGATATTCAGTGTCCCCCGTCCCCCCCCTCCCCGCCCCCGCCTCAAACTATTTAAATTTTTAATGCAGTAGAGCTTGACAGCTGCTGCAGCAGCAGACATGAGTAGACCTCAGGCATAATCCACTTTTAGCATGAAAACTCTAAACTGAAAGTGAGACTTCTAGAAGTTAGCATATATATAGCTAGATGCAGACACCAATTTCACTTTACAAATCTTTTCTTCCTCCTTCCTTTCGCACACAGTCTTGCTCTGAATTCGATCCTTAAGGATCTTTGCCCATCTCAGTTATCACAGTGAAAGCTATACAAAGCTGTCAAATATTTCCTGCTTTTACAGCAGCATTTTACATACGAACGATAAGCCTGTATCACGTGCAGTCATATCTGGATTTAAGCTCCCAAATTACATGTAACCCTTTCGACGTTTCCATTTTCTTTGCTATAATTCAAATACTTTGAATTGCAT